CAGCAGTGTATTTCAGTAGATCTGCCTGTTCTGCTCCCTACTCTGTCTATGGTGAATCTACTCACACCCCTCCCCCCCACATCTCTAGCCTGTACCCCAGTTCTTTTATGCATAAATAAATAAATCTCCACTGAATCCTACCTCTGAGTCATCTTGGGGTCAATCTCCATTGATCAGAGTGATCATTACTGTTTCTTTACATATCTAGTAGTCTTTTTGGGTCATAGCATGGACATTGTGATGACTACAATGAAGATTCTACATTTTTTAATACCCAAGAGAATTGATGCTTTTGCAGATACCTAACTTGGCTGGACTTAAAATTCCAGGCTCAGTATTTTTTAGCGTTAAGGGTGTTCTCTGGAGGCTGCTCAAACAAATGTGTGAGTTTAAGAGGTCAGCAAGAGATTTGATGTGAGTTTATATATGTATTTGGGGTCCAAGATTGACATTTTTTTCCAGAATTTTTCTCTTTACTTTCTAGCTGTGTGGTCACTCTAAACTCTCTCCTCTTCCTTAGGCAGGTAAAATTAGAGGTTATCATCCCAGTTTTAGGCATTTTGTCATGTCACCAACTGGAGCCTTCTCTTTGGCTCAAAGTCATACAAATGGAAATGCAATTACTGCTGTTGCCTTCTTCCAAGTGTGGACGGCATTCCAGTTTCTGCTGGCTATCTCTCCAATGTCCTCTGCTAGTTTAAAAAAAAAAATCCCCATTTTTTTTTTTTTAAAGATTTATTTCTTTATTTATACAAGCACTGGGTATAGTCAGAAGCACAGGAGGGTGAGAGGATTCACCAGAGCCAGAACAGGGAACAGAACAGGCAGACTAACGAAATACACTGCTCAGGGGAGCAGCGGGTGCGGCAGGAGAGGTCTGTCACACCATGTGGGACTCTCTCTGGGGGCCAGGGATCAAACCAGCACTGCAGAGGCTCCGGGCAGCTTTGCAGCCCAGCGCTCCACTGCTTGCCACCAGGGGAGGCCTTTCCCATTTTTTTAATCTGCAGAATTGTCCCAATAGGAACTACTCAGCAATTTATCAGCAGTTCTAAATGTTCTGGTCTTGAGATCTATTTACACTTTTAAAAAGATTTATTTCTTTATCCATAGAAGAACAGGGGTGTAGGCCAGAGGTGTGGGGCGGTGAGAGGATTCACCAGAGTCTGAGTGGGGATGTATAGGAGGATGTACTGAAATACATTGCTGGGGGGAGCAGGGGATGAGGCAGGAGAGGTCTGCTATGCCATGTGGGTTAGCTCCCTGGCGGGGGATCAAACTCATGCTGCAGTGGCTGGTGATAGCTTGCTAGCACTGACACTTTAACCCCTGAACCACCAGGAAGGGCCCGTCCTTTTAATATCTTGCTCTAAAAAGTAGAGCTAGGTTTTCTCTACTTCTGCTATTAAATTTGTTACCACATATTATTTTGATTCAAAAGATTTTGGCTTTGCAAGAGGAAGGTCCTTGCAGACCCACTGAAAGGGTTTCAGGAACCTCTAGGGGGTTCTTGGATCACACTTTGATGACCTGTGCCCTACACTATCTTTTCCAAATCCCGAGAGATAGTAAAGGAGGAATCGCAGGATCAAAAAAGTCAGGAAAGGCACCCAAAATTGTAGTCTACTAGGTATTAAATGGTATTGGTAGTATACTACTTCAAGTCTGACTTTAAACTTCGTGCCCTTTCTACAAAACCCCAATGTAGAACTTCCAATATATTTGTCAATTGCAGATTTTGCAGATATGTTGGATCAAATCGGGGTGGGGAGAAAGGTGCAAATTTTCCAAGTTTATAAAAAGAAACAAATTCAGATATGTTTAAAAAACACAACTTATAATAGGTTCATTAAACTCATTTACATAATAATAGGCCTTTGGTATTTTCATCAAATTTTACCTCAGGGCAATAGAGCCAATCCATCACAAAGTTAGTAAAAAGACTTTCTAATACAAACTACTTTGCAAATCATTAGCCAGCCTTTTTATGTAGCTTTTGCTCAGCAATTCTGTTTTCACTGGTAAGTGAAATAACTAAAATCTTCTATGCCTAAAAATCTTACAAGTTTGAGAACTTTTGGTGGAAATGTTGAGATGTATGAGAGGTTATGGAAAAACAACCTTTTTATTTTAATAATTTATAGTAAAATACCTATTAGAGCCAAAATATAAGAGTATTACATCTTAAAACTTCTTATCTATTATCAAAGTGGTATATTATAATAGGGCTACTGATGATATTTAAGAGAGACTACAAAAACCCTGTTTATTGACTAAATCAAAGTAACTGGATTAGCTCAAATTAAGTTAGGTAAAACAACTTTGTTTCTATATTTAACTCAATGTTAGCTTGATATTCAATATCTTTGATTTTTATTTTAAAAAATCTATTCTAGGGCCTGCGTGGTGGCACAAGGGGTTAAGCACTGCACTATGAAGCAATCCAAAGCCTCTGCAGCTTCAGAGCAGCCCACATGGTGCAGCAGACCTTTCCTGCCGCCCACTGTTCCCCTCAGCAGTGTATTTCGTCAGTCTGCCTGTTCTGTTCTCCGCTCTGGCTCTGGTGAATTCTCTCCCGAGCTTCTGACTGTACCCAGTGCTTGTATAAATAAATAAATAAATCTTAAAAAAAAAAAGACTATGAGACAGGAAAGTTGGCAGAGGGAATGTGTACAGCTTTTTTGAGATACTTACTCATGGCTATAAATACAAACAAATACTCAAAGTGCCATAAGATAAAAGATTTTTATACAATGATTAAAACTTTTTAATGATACTTTCATACAAGATTGTGGTATTGCCTAGACAAAAAATGTTTGCAGAAGCCATTTATGTGAATGGGGTTCTTATTACTGACTGTATTGTAAAGCTTTCCTTGTAGAGTTGTACTGATGTCTGAGTCCTACTCCAGACTAACCTAAATAGAATTGTTGGAGGTGAGTGTTTAAAAAATTCCTCAGGAGATTTGAATATGACGCCTCAGCTATGAAACACTGAGTGAGGAGGACACAAGAATATTTCACACACTAAAATTACAGAAAAAGAAGCAATGTTACAAGTCTCAAAACACGAGAATTATACTGATTACATTCAATGAAAAAAATCAACAACTATAATTTTAATTGTAAACTAAACTTAAAATTAGCCACCTTGAAGAAAGGAAGACACCACAGGCAGAGAAGGAACACACCATTTTCAGGCTTCTGTTTAAAAAGTAATTAGAATCAGAGGTATTTATTCTTATACTCCATTACACCTAAAAATGATATGGAAAATCCAAATCTGTAAATACTATGAGGTAAAATCGGCAACAACTCTAGGCATCTGCTTATGAAAATCACTGAGAATGTTAAGAAAAGAGGTTAACAAGTAGATGTGGTAGACGATACAGGAAGAGCAGTTATGCTCTAGAAACCCTTTACGGAACAGGGAAACATTAGGTTGTGGCCCCCTCCCTATTGGCAGTCAGCCTACTACACCTCTAACCCCCATCGAAACAAGAGGGATGCCGGATAAAACCACAGCAAGGCAAACAACAATGTTAACACCAGTGAATGTAAATTGCTAGTGGGTCTTAAAAAAAATCAGAACTCTGTGAAGAAGTATTTCTTCTTTTTGTCCACTAAAAAATAAAGATTGTATTTCTCAAAGGTCAGGAGAAAGACATAGAATACAATACAGACAGGAATGATTATAAGTGAATACAGGTGAGCCAATACTTCCTGTGCCACAGAATGTTGCAGAAATATGGGCTGAGAAAATCTTTTGCTAACAGTGCCTAGAATTTTTCAAAAGAAAAAAAAAGTTGTATGATTGATTTGTGACCAAGGAAGACATGAAATAGAAAAAAATTAAAAAACAGTAATTCTATAAACATTTTTTTCTACATATGGTTAAAAGAAAAAAAAATCCTTCTAGTGAAGAGAAAGTAAATAGGTTTGATCAATAATTCTGAAACTGATGTTTGCTTCATTTTTCCTCTTCTTCCACTCTCCCTAAGCAAGTTCAAGCTGCAGCCTTTCATATTCTAGATGTTATATGTTCTACTCCTTAGCGATAGTTACTATTTTATTGAGGAGACAATATGCAAGGCCTGATGTCAAGTGCTCTATGTACAGTCTCCTTTCATCCTCACTATGTTTCCATTTTACAGATGAGGAAAAACCTAGGCTTAGGACACGCTACTAGGAGATAATATAAAGTGGGTCTAACTCCATAGCCTATGCTGCTGGTAATCACAAACCGGAACAGAATTTTTCTTAGTATTCTCTTAAAAGAATGAAGCTCATATGTTATTTTGGATAAATAAGCAGAAAGGGGGCACAGGAAGTGGTGGGGAAGTACTTCATAGTTTATCAAGATAAGAGCACCTGCACTGCTTTTTTAACACAAGGAAAAAAACCTGTAATAATATAAAATCCCCAACTCTTTCTGGTCATTATTACTAAAATAGACAGATTTTTTCCCCAACAATATGGTCCAGCACCACCTTACAGACCATAGTAAATAAATCACTTTAGTTCAGTGGCGGGAGGGCATTACCCAACACTTCCCAGCATAACCCTCGCAGGATATTTTACAGCCAAGGCTCTTGGGCTCCTCCTCCATAGCCAGACAGCTTGGCTCCTTTGCATGCCCCTCAGGAGATAGGGTGGAAACACACAGCTCCACTTTCTAAGGCATAGAGGGCAGCTGAAAGTCCTGCTCAGCCTCTCTGGGCAACCACAGGCGCCAATAAATCAGCCACAGGCGATTCTCTCATCCCCATCCTGACTTCAAGTGGTAGCAAGATATAATGCAGAAGAGCACTGACTGGACTTGAGAGATAAATATCTAGGCTCAAATTCTACTGCAAATGACTGCATCTAAGCCAGGTAAATCACTGAGACCAGTTTCTTCATTTGTAACATGGAAACAATACTACTTCCCTATTGGCAATTCGAAATTCATCTATAAAAAGCAGTGAGTCTCTATAGGTACTCAACAAAGAGCAAACAAACCTCGGTAGAATCCATCTGCACTATCTCCAATTAAGACGTTCAGTCAGGGCAAAAAGGTATAGCAAATCACATGAGGCCCCTTCCTTCTTTCTTGTTGATCATCCCCGCAATGTTCCATAGCTTTCTGCGACAGAACTAACCTACACCATGTCCTATGCGATCGGTATTCTGTTGCCTATTTAGGAGTCGATTTCTCATAATGGATTAATAGTTCATTCTTAATTAAAACATCCAGATTGCTAAGGACTTTGATGCCTTAACTTAAGGAAGCAACCGATACTGCAAACATTGGTCATTCTTGCAGAGAACAGGGCTGAATCCGTGTGGTGACAGAGCTCCAAAGTCTATCAAGGAGGATCTATTCCACTTAGAAATCGTGCCAACCTCACTCCTTAAAATACCAGAGGCATCACACAGGCCAAGTCTGCTTTCTTAAAAGCTGAATATAATCACCTCTGGTGAACAGTCTCTACAGAGTGGGTCAAAATGGCACGGTAGTTCTGCAGTGTTGGGACTCAAAAAGACCAAGGCACCCGGAATCTGGCAACCAGTTCAAGACATGTAAGATCTCCATCAAGCTATGCGTTCTTTAGGCCTGGTGTCTTCATCTGTAAAATGAGAAATGAACTGGGTTTTCCATAAAGCCCCTTTTAGCTCTAAAATCTGTGATTCCCAAGTGCATTTTACACACTTGACAAAATCCAGAGTGAATCGATAGCTTTGCCAAGAGAATGATGCCCAAATTAATCCTCTGAAGGAAAACAGGCCTTAATTTATGAGACAAGTTAGCCGCCCTGACGTCGCAGGTACAGTATGCTAGGGGATGCCTAGGTCGCTTGGTGTCTCCAAAGAAAGAGTGCCAGGGGAAGACAGTGAAAGACGAAGCAAGTTTTAAAAAAAGATAAACTGGGTTTGCTTTAGATGCGATTAATATAATGTGAAAAATAAAGAAATGGAAGAATTGTGCGAGGACTGAAAAATAAAATATGCGGGGGCCATTAGACCAGAAAAGGGGTAATCACAAATTGGGATGACGGGAGGGGAGACGGCAGCCCGAGCACCTCGCGGGCGGCACCTGGAGACCCGCCCCGTGACTGGAGGAGTCGGCGCTCGAGCTGGGGAAGGCCGACGGCCCCGGGGGCTTCCCGCTCGAGGCCGCACCCGGGCCGGCAGCGGAGGGCTTCCAGCCCGTCTCGGCCCGTGCGGGCAGCGAAGGGTGGCTCTGGAGCTCCTCGGCCCAGCGCTCACTCAGGGTTGCCATTTTCCTCCGGCGCCCTGATTGACATGTCAAACGGACCAAAAACAACCCTCTCCCCAGCTACTTGCATCTAAGCCGCGACCGCCTCAGCTGCCGGCCGCCGCCCCGGGCGGCTGGCGGCGGGAGGGACTGAACCCGGAGCAGCCCACAAGGGCTGGGCCGCGTCGCTTACCCAGACGCCGCCGCGGCGGCCGGCCGGATCCTCCGTGCGGGAGGGGCGGCTCCCGCGCCGTGCACGTCACGCGGAGGCGCCGGCTCACGCACCCCGAGGCCCGCTCTCGCGCGGCTTCCCGCGCCGACCGGCCCGCGATGGGCCCACGTGACCGCGCGCCGGGTCGCCGGGGAAGGAAGGGCGCGGGGGCCGGAGTGTGCGTGCCTGCGTGCGTGCGTACGTGCGCGCCCGTCCGCCCGCCCGCTCGCTCGCTCGCTCACTCGCGCTGGTGGCGGGGCGGGGGTCGGCCCGCGCTCCGGGCGCCTCCGCGGCGGTCCCCAGTCGTGACTCTGTAGGCGGAAGCGTGGAGACCAGCTAGAGCGTCACTGGCGTCCCACACACAACCGCGTGACCCGGGGACTTTCCCCAGGGTGTGCAAAAGCACGGACACCCCCTCAGATCAGGGGTGGGGGCGGGGAAGGGTGCGCCCGCGTGTTGGAGGGGCGACGGCTGAGGGCGCGGGGCCAGGGCGGCCGAGCGGCGGGAGTCTGGGGGTGGAGGCGGGCGGCGCGGGGTGGGGCGCGGCGGGGGAAGTGACTCAGGGCCAAGGGGGACAGGCCCATGGCAGGCAGGGTGGGGGGGCGCGGGAAATGGGCGCCCCTGAGCGGGCGGGCCGCGCACGGGACGGGGCGCGGGGAGCGGCGCCCCCGGAGCGCTGGAGCCGTGCCGCGAGGGCGGGCGGGGCAGCCAGGCCCTGGGGGTCGGGGTCTGACATCTGCACGGAGTGGGAGCGCCGCATCCCGCCCTCGGGGCGTCGGGAGGAGCCGGGTCCTTTCCAGCTGTGCAAACAGGAGGAGGAGGTCCCGAGCCTGCCCTGGGGAGAGGGGCGCGAGGGGCGGTCAGGCCGCCGCCGCGCCGGCCCCGCGGTGCGGGTTGCGCCAGCCTCCCCGGAGCCCGACGCAGAAACTTGTTGCAACAAACAGGCGACCGCGGGTGCCCCTAGCAGCCAGCGGCGGAGTGGGTGGGCGGGCGAGAGGGAGGGGAAGGCTGGCGGACGCCGCAGCGAACTGGTGGGCAGACCCGGAGTCGCCGCGTAAGCGGGGCCGGCTCAGTGCGGTGCGGCAGGCGCGGCTGTGCGGCAGCGGAAGTCCTTTGTTGCAGCGCAGTCCCTGGCAGAGCCGGAGCCTCTCCGCGCAGCCCAGCCCGAGCGCCGAGCGCCGCGCGCCGCCGCCACTGCAGCCCGCGGCCCCTTCGCCTCCGCCCGCCTTTCCCGCGGCTCCTTTGCCTTAAACTCCCTAAAACCTCCGCAGCCCGGGTCCCCGCGGCGGCCGGTGAGTATTTGCCAGTTGTGGGGCTATTTGCGCAACTTTGGCCCGAGCCGGCGGGCCGCGGGCCTGGCGAAGTGCGGGGCCGGCGCGGCGCCGACCCGTGCGGGGAGCCGGAGCGCGGCGGGCGCGCCGCGAGGACCCGGCGACGGGCGGCTGTCGGGCCGCCTGCTCGACCCCGCCGCCCGCCGCCTGGGGCGAGCGGCCTCCTCGGGCCGAGGCGAAGCCCTCGCGGGGACTCGCTCACAAATTAGTTACCTTCTTTTCCCTTTCTTTCTCTGTATTTTTTTTTGGGGGGGGGAGGAGGGAGGTGTAGACGGGAGGCGGGAGGACCCGGGTGATTGACGTGCCCAGAGCCCGCTTCTCTCAACTTGCAGCTGCGGCTCTTCGGCGGGTGGGAGGGGAAGTGTCCCGGAGCCCGAGGCCGCAGACTTGGGCGCGCTCCGAGGGAGGAGGCGTAAGAGCCGTGCAAATTCTTGCCACGCTTTCCCACCCCCTCTTGCCGGCACACACGCTTTTTGTTTAGCGAAAAGTGATAGAGCTCGGGTTTGAACATTTTCTCTGGAAAAGAGCGGTTTCCTGGGAAGAAAGTGCTTTCAGTTCCCGTGGTGGGCGCTTCGTAGAAGTTCTGTTAGTGTCCGACGAATGTGTTGGGTGTAGATCTGGAGTCGTTAGCAGGAGAATATGTAGACTTGGCTCTGAGCTGAGCCACCCTCCCAGTTTCTCTTTCTGCCTAAGTAACACGTCTGTACGATCTGAAAGGTTAACGTGACAGCTTCCAAATTGGGAGCGTCAGGGAGAGGTTATTACGAGTCCTTGATGTTTTCTGGGGACAGTAGGGTATTTGTGTGTGTGTAATAATATTCCTAAATCGAGCTTGAGCTTGGTAAGCACGCGCAGATTCTCCACTAGCCGGAGTGTGTTTCCTACACAGTACATATCACGGCAGAGAAAACTATTCCAGGAACAACTTTCCCTTTGAACTCGAATTCAGGGAGTGGTCCTAGGCTTTTTGAAAAGGCGACTACTCAGAATCAGTTTCTTGAACTGAAGTTCAAGGTATCCTGGGGCAGATTTGGTGAAATATGCAGTTCTTTTAAGTTCAAAGCAGTCACGGCCTTCTTTTAAATGGAGACATTAGAGTCTGAAATTTTCTTAGTGCAAATGGATATGATGTGGAGAAAGGGGGAGCATTGGGGCGCAAAAAGATGAAGATTGAATGATGGCTGGCTATTAGAACCTCAGAATTTCCCTTTTGAATTAGTCGCTGGTTGTCTAATAAAGTCTCAGTAATAACTGAATGGCTTCAGGAACTAGGTGGGGCCTCACTCATCTTGAGCAGAGAATTGAAGCATAGGGGAGGTGATAAGACTTTTTCCCAAAGATTAATAAAGGGAAACTGCACGAGGTTTTCAATAAACATGCTCGTTTAAAAAGCAGGATTTCTCCATTATGACCACATATTCATGGTATAAAATAACTCAGATTGAGCAGTCTTTACTAAAGCCTTTCTATTCTTCCCACCCCTTGTATGATAAACTACTTTGGAGGGGAGGGGATAACCCTAGTATATCATTGTCAGAGAAAAAAGAAACCATATCTATCCAGGGCCTCCCTGGTGGTGCAGCGGTTGAGCGCTGGGCTGCGAAGCTGCCCGCAGCCTCTGCAGCGTGGGTTCGATCCCCGGCCGACTGCGAAGGTCCCACATGGCGCGCAGACCTCTCCTGCCGCGCCCGCTGCGCTCCTCAGCAGTATATTTCGTCAGTCTGCTTTTTCTGTCCCCCACTCTGGCTCTAGTGATTTCTCTCACCCTCCCGCGCTTCTGACTGTACCCAGTGCTTGTATAAATAAATAAATACATCTTTAAAAAAAAAAAAAAAGAAAGAAACTATTATCTCTCCAGGACCTTAGCAGGGTATGAACAGCCTCGACCACTTGCTTTTGATCTTGTGCTTTGATTTTGCTTTAACATTACTAAATTTTTGTGCTGCTTTCTCATTCTCCTTTTTTGCCAGGCTCTGATGAAAGTAAAGTTCATGGATCTTTTTAAAGGGTGTCTGTGTGTTCCTTGCAGCAGTATTTCCCATTCTAATGTGCAGAAGATAGGAAGTGCCTGCTTTCAGGCCTCTTCTCCAGCCAAGGAAAATGTTAAGCCTTTGCTGTTAACCTTCTGGCCCAAAGCGGGAAAACATTTGGGATAAGAATGTAGAAAAATGTGTACAAATTTTTATTTGTAAGGCACAGTGTGTTGTCTTCCCAAAAATTGAGGTATATTTGAAAAATATCTGCTTGTAAAGTTAACTTTGGCCTCTCTCAGATGTGTTCTCTTGATATTTTCTTCATATGCCAGTATTTCGTACCATAACATACTGAAATTAATTTGAGCCATATTAAAAGTTAATTCATGTCTGATTTTTCTCAAAAGGGAAGTAAAATCCATGCTTTGTAAAAATTCAACTGACAACTGAAGTACATAAAATAACAAAAATGAAAGCCCTCACTCCCACTCCCCAAAGAGATAATCACTGTTTCAGAGGAGAGAAGGCAACATTTGATCATAACTACTGCGGTGTGTCCCTCACCCTGCTTAGATATGGACTGTCATGCTTCATGGGCTCATGTTCTCTGTGTACTACTCAGGCTGGTGAGAATTAGCCAGGTAAAGAAAAAATGTTTTTTGCCTTTAGCTAGTTTAAAGTTCTAAGATTAAGGAACAGATGTGAGAGTTTAAAGCAGCTATTTTAGGTGTGTCCTTATGAAGTACTATATCTTGGTGGGCTAGTACTCATGTTTTTTTAATGTTAATGTTGCTGTCCAGTCTGATGGATTGATTTATACAGGCCAAACTCATTAAAACTAAACAAAAACCCTCACATTTGTAAAGAGCTTAATAATTTACAGTTGAGAAGGAGTGGGTGTATACTTCCTATGAAGACCACAGCCAAGATATCCCTGTGCTGGTAGGGGAATGAGGGCTTCCTCATATCAGTAATCAGAGGTAGAGTGGCCAACATCGAATGGAAATTAGAGAAGGGGATTAATGGCTGTTTTCAGCTATGGTGTGGAAGGACATGGTACATATTTTAGATTCTAAGTATACGTAGTTACTTGTAAGTACAAGCGATGACAGTCATACAGAATCACTCCTTACCCTGGTATATTCAAGAATGAGCTGTGAAGTAGTTAATATTCTGAAAACAAAGGCCCAAAATTTATGTGGAAGTTAATTACAACATTGGCTATTTGTGGGTGGTGGGGCATGAGTTTTTTATTCTTCACTGTTTGAGTTTATAATCACTTTCAAAATAAAATTGGAAAATTAAATCACCAACCAGATTTTGTTTTTCCATGTAAAATACACAAACTCCTTTTTAGACATAGGTGAACAGCCACATTCCTATTTTAAATCTTTAGTATTAGGGGAGGGCTTGCTCTAGTGGGCATGGGAGTCAGCAGGTTGAAGGAGGAGGTGGGGAAGAGAGGGTATTCTGCTTGCAACATGAGGCAGTGAGAATGGGGTAACTCTAGGATGCTTAGAATGTTCCAAAGGGACACTCCAGTCAACAGTCATTGCCAGAAAGGGTGTTATCTGTTTTATAAAAAACTGAAACTTAGGGTTCTCAAAACAGAGTCAGAGTTTGAATTTCATCTTTTGCTTACAAAATGAGCAGTTTGGGGCATACCCACCACTGACAAAAAAATTTCATTTTTCACAAAATGAAAGTAATAAAAAGCCCTGCCTCAGGACTGTTGTGAAAACCAGTTGAATAATGTGTGGAAAATTGCATGGTAAAAATTTGACCACCTGGTTGAAATAATGCAAAAAATTGATGCACAAACTAAAACTTGCCTACTGCAATATTTATTCATTCAAAAACTGACCAAATATCAACTGAATGTCAGGCAACTATTAGAGGCGTAGGAATACAGTGATGACTAAGAATGTCTTGGTCTAGTGCTTATGGCAAAGCAGGGGAGCCACATAATATAATCCCTTCCATGAGCGTGGTAAGAGATCTAGATAACATCCCAGTTTGGATGGATGTATGTATGTGCTTTTGGAAGCACAGAATAGGGGAAGTTGCCTCACTCTGGGATCAGAAAGGTGATTCTTTATGAATCATCTAAGGATGAAGTATGGATTAAAAGTTAAGCCAGTTGCACTCACTCAGTGCTGGACAATGAAAAGGTTCTAAGAGGGAAGAGCATGTGGGAAAGCAGGAAGGGTTCTGCTGTGTCAGATGCTTTAACGAGGGGGAATCTTCGATCTTACGTAGATCTAAGGTTTAGAAATGGAGTTGCTCTTAGATGAACATATTTGTGATATTTTTTTTTCCATTGGTTTCATTTCATTGACTTAATTAGACAGGAATGTGAAGTTTTCAGCATTTGGGTTAGAATTACTAAAAAAAAAACATTGCAGCCATAAAATTGGAAACAATGCAATTTCAAAACGTGACTCTACTAGGAGGAGGAATCTGGTGATCCCTCCCAGTGTAGAGCTGTCTCATCATTTAGTAAATGCTAATATTGCAGAGAAATGACGAAACCATATTTCTCCCTTTGAAGTTGCTCATAATCTACACCAACACAGAGATAATTGTGGTAGCTGATTCTTATTCAGCTTTACTTCATGACAGACACTATCTTTTTTTTTTTTTTTTTTTTTTTTAAAGATTTATTTATTTATTTATTTATACAAGCACTGGGTACAGTCAGAAACGCGGGAGGATGAGAGAATTCACCAGAGCCAGAGCGGGGAACAGAACAGTCAGAAGGACCAAAGTACACTGCTGAGGGAGCAGCGGGTGGCAGGAGAGATCTGCACGCCATGTGGGACCCTCCTCCGGTGGCCGGGGAGCAGCCTAGCAGCCGGGGATCCGGGGATCGAACTGGCGCTGCAGAGGCTGCGGGCAGCTTCACAACCCAGCGCTCAACCGCTGCGCCACCGGGGAGGCCCGACAGACACTATCTTGCAATAACTAAAGGCTAGGAAGGATTACCAT